TCATTTCCATGCTCAATTGAAGCAACCACAAAACCCATGCCAAGAACAAACAAAAAAGACACGTGATAGGCACAAACCAGGACAAGCTGATGAAATGTTGGTAGCTAGGTGTTCACCGAGTTGTATGTTGGAAGGGGCGTGCAGGGTGGATGGCCTCAGAAGTGCCACGTAGTCTCACAGGCCCCAAGACAGAGAGCTTCATTTTGCGCCCTAGAGGGTGAGCTAGGATTGTGTTCCCTAGAGGATCATGCAACATAATTATGAGAGCAGAATGGAGAATCTTGGTCCTCGTGGGTACTGACCAGCGTACTTGGACTTGGGGTGGAGGCGCAGCCCCGCATGCGGCGAGAGGAGTGCACGTGGCCTATAGAAGAAGAAGAAGAAGAGAAAAAACAAAAGAAAAGAGGAGAGAGCGAGAGAGACATTTGCGCCGATCAGCATTGATGAGATTCTGATGTCTGCCGGCCCGGACAGCACTCCTTGGGGGTGCTTCGGCAGGAGGGACAACCGCCATCCCTGCAAGAAAAGAGAGATTTGCAAGTAGGGGCGCTCATTGTCTGCTGAGGTGGACACGGAACACGGGGCCTTCTTCTTCATGCCCAACCCAAAGTACCACTGGACTCCTGAGGCAGAAGCAGGGACTGCAGTTGCTTGCTTAGCGGCTTAGCTACTTGGGGAGGCCGCTTTCAACGATGAGCGCAAGGCGCCGGCTTTCCGTATGTGCTGTCGCAAGTCTGCAAGCTGCCGCTGAGGTCTGTGTTGAGGGCTGGGGGTACGGGCTACCGAATCCACTGCATCCGATTCCATTCCTCTAAATCCCCAAACCCAAAAGCCTAAATCCCGGGGCGGTAGCAGCACTCAACTTGAGCCATCACCTCGATGCATAGTTTATGGCTAACTCGCATGCCAACCTTGTACACTTCTCTGAAGTGTGTCATTCTCGCGCATGGGTCATCCGTACAGGCTTTCACACTCCTCCTTGGTCGCTTCTGGCCATTAGCGAACATCAAAACTATGCAATCCTGGACTTGACGTCATGTGCACTCAAGACCTTCTTGCGCAGTATTGATCTGTGGGCTTTCCACACGGAAGCTGAGTTCATCTTGCACCCATGACCACAACGAATGGTCACAGAGACAAGCCTGGCTGGCATCAAAACTGAAGCGGCGCTAGCTATGCACATCAGTCCTGGCCAAAACCACAGGAGACATCATGACGCGTAGCTTTCTGTGCCACTGCTCCAGCGCTTTGCTGCCCAAGAGGGGTGGCCCAAGACCTTTGTCAAAGAGTCTGCTGGGATTTCTGTTCCACTCATGTACTTGATCACTATTCCCTCGGTGGTTGTTTGGTCCCTTATCCAACTACAGCGCAAGCCAAATGACGTATGCGAATAGCCTGATAGTCCTGATTGTTGAGAGGTTCGCCAAGCATGTGGCATTATCCCCGTGCAGTGTCATGTCCGGCTGTTTACTCCTGGCAGTCGATTGTCTGGCTGACTTCCGCGAGATGATATGCTCTCCACAGGAACTGAGCACCCCTGTTCGACTGCGACTTGCTCCAACACCAAGAGATGCATCGTATGCAACAAATATCGTCACATTCCAAGTGCGGCTAAGCAAGGACAGGGTTCAAAGTTGCATGCGATGGACGCAGCTACAGCAGCAACATCGAGCTGTGTCTTTAAAGACAGCAACGTACTGATGTGTGACTGTTCCCCTCAGGAAATTCTGGCAATGACTCACTAGGCTTCAAGTGCAGCAGACAGAACCGCTTTTGAGAAGTTCTTCGGCCTCCAAACGCCAAAGCGTTTGGTGAATGAACACACGAAAAGGCGCTTTCACCCTTCTCAGAACGCAGAGACTAAAAAAAGGGGTTGTGCGGTCTGTGGCAATGTCCATTTCTCCATGAAAGACTTGGCAAGACCGGCGGTGGGCAGTTGGGCGGTCAGTGATGGAGTGCCAAACAGACGCCCATCTTTTTCAACATAAAAAATTACCATACCCCCAAGCTGTGGGAGAAGTCTTTCTCATCCTCTGGGACCACTTTCCGTTCACACCCAGAACCTTACAAGCTTTGAACCTTGACTATGTGGTCTGGCAGTCCTCTTGGCTTGCCATAACTCAGGACTTCTCCTGCTACTATACGATGCTGCTTGCGCAAACGCCGCCAAACTGTGCTACTAATCGTTGTATGTTTGACAAGCACTGCCCCTCTTCGCCTTCAATGTTGGCATCGAGAATGCAGATGTGTCCAACACAAGGCCTGTCCATGACCCGCTCCGATCTGAAAGCATCTCAGACCCTGGGCAGGCAAAGCGGCAAGGCACCATCCCTTCAAGGCGACGCGGCGACGCAGCGTCTCGCTCTACTTCCTCGTAGGGCTCTTTCTGTGCCAAATTGCCGAGCTCTGTGCCAACACCTTCTGTCAAGCATTCGTCCAGATCTTCCGGAGACACCCTTGGATGCGTCAAGATAGACTGCGGCATCGATTGCTCGTGCGCATGCGTTTCTTGCTCTCTGTCAAAAGCCGGAATGAAGTGCTGATCATGAGCCTTGTCACCCTTGCACTGCAGTGAAGCTTCATCTTTGCCTTGATTTGGCAGACTGCTCACAGCACCCATGGCCGGTCCTTCTTGAAGCCTCCATATAAATGTCATGGTTGATAAGAATATTAAACCCTACCCAAAGCTCATCCAACGAGTCATCTTCAGCAAGCCATTGCTGCCAGTGTCACGATGCCGCGTTTCCACCTGGAGCCTTGTCTTGCATCCAAGAACCTGCCCAGCTGCTTTGCCTTGCCTTAAAAGAGATTCACCTTTCACCAAAAGAAAAAAGAGATAGATGTGTGTGTTAAAAAGCCTGGTTTTTTGGAGCTCTCGCTGAGCCGCTCTGAAGCTCGGCCTGGGCCTGGGCGGCTCTCCGTCTCTCTTCTTGGAAGGGGATGAGGAGAGACTGCGTTTTCGTGACGATGGCCGTTGGGTTCGGGGCTGCGCTGCCATGCCTTATCTCGAAGGCGAAGTATGGCAAAAGGAAAACACCCATTTTGGCCATCCCAAAATAAATCACTGACCTCTTGCTGAAGAGCAGCTGCATCGGCCAGTTGCAGATTGTGATTGTCCCCAAGAATCTTCAACCCAAGCATTCGCATCCGCAGTCTGCGTACATACGCCGCGCCCTCTAAGGCTTCACGCCGGCATGTTACACCCAGCTTCGCATGGAAGTTGGATTGCTGCATCAGTCTCTAACAATCTCACTTTCATGTGAGTGTGCAAACCATCACTAGCAAGTGTCTCAGGTATGTGTGTATCTGTGAACTCGTTGCCTATTCACAGAAGGGGAATGGCGATGCGGCGCAGCAGCGCAGCAGCGCAGTCGCAGAAAATCCTCTGTAGAGCTGAGGTCTTCGGAGACTAAGCAAGGTCATGCCTGGGCCAGGTCCGTAAACAATCCGAAATACCATTTCCCGCTATCAGAAGTGATGTCATCACCCCCATTGCTTCTTTCTGAAGTCTGTTCCAACTGGAATTCCCCCGAAGCTGAGCAGATTCAAGCGAAAGCCTGAATCTTTTACTTGGTGCTGTATGCGCTTTCAACACTTGACGAGAACCCACATATCCTGAACATCAGACGTCCAACTGACACCTTGACCACACTCCGCATTGGCGGAATCCACTCGTTTGAGCCCAATGAAACCGCGGACTTCAGCATCTTTGGTACGCCATGCCACCAAGCGATCCCCATTCGCATCCCGCAACCTGCAGCGTCGAGTCTTTCATCCAACTCGTGCTTATTGTGGCAGTGATGGGGAGTGTGTGACTCTTCCAGTCAGCATCTTTAGCGAGGCTCGATTTGTGGCCTGGTGGATCCACCCGAATCTCTGTCAGAGCCTTCAACCGGCTTCCTCTGCAGTCCATGTTGATGTGTCGCGCTGAGGTTCTGAGCTGCGTGATTGGCCAAGCCCTTGGAAAAAAGAAGCCTACAAAGACCATGAGCCTCATCCAACTGCTTTGAGCGGTTTAGGCCGCGTATGTTTTGAGGACGAAGCAGGCCGTCGAGGCGCCGGCTGCGCTGACGGGAGGTGCTGCCAGCTGAGCACAGTCTTCTTTTGCATAGGCGTAGTGTATCAGTAGCATACGGTTCTGCAAAAGTTTAACGTGGGGAGGTGCTACCGACGAAGACGGAGTCGGCGCGCCCGGTGACTTTGGCTACTCTGCGATGCCGAAGCCTGACGCCTAAAGAGCCAACAGCGAAGCCTGGAAGTCTCGGTTTGGGCATTTCGGGCCTTGGGCTTTGGAGAGTTTGGTCCGAGGTGTGCGGAGTATCTGCACACCTGCCGCGATCTCTCTGGAGCCATACATGTCAGGACGCACACAGGGTTCGGTTTCGAGCTTTTAGAATGCTGCTGAAGAGTTTCTGCAGCCTTGTTTCAGGATGCTAGATGCTCTCATTGCTGGGATCAAGACCTACCTGGACAGAATGTCACCTTCTTGCGCAGCTTTGCAGCTTGTTCTCCAGAGTCGCTGTTGACTTAGGTTTGGCGAGGCACTTGCAGCTGCACATGTATCAGCGGGCTTCCACTATCCTGTTGGACCCTAAGACAAGAAAAGGTTCACTCAGCCTGGGTCTCCTTGGATTCACCAAATCGTCAGGGCTTACCGGGTTTCAGGGGGTGCTGTTGCCTCCCAGTGCGGAGCACGGGAGGTACCCAATCCAGAAAGGCGCTGGCTCAAGCGCAGAGATCACACAACTTCAATAAAAAAAACTAATCACTGCACGTCAAGAAAATTACAAAACATAATCTGTTTTTCGGATCACGGGCTTCCATTGGAGGGAGAGCCTGCATGTCCCTTTAATATAAGGCAGAAAAATATAGGGCAGCAAAAAATAGGGCTGCAAAAAAAATGTAGGGCAGCAAAAAAAAATGTAAGGCAAAAACAAAAATGTAGGACAGCAAAAAAAAAATTAGGGCAGCAAAAAAACATATGGCAGCAAAAAAATATAGGGCATTTGCCAAATGACCTATATTTTATGGCGCAAAATTTCACGAGGAGAAGTCTCCGCAAACCATTGGATTTGGCCTGGTTTCCAGTCATTCTCCTCGTGAGAATCCCAAATCTTCACGAGGAGACATGACTGGAAACCAGGCCAAATCCAATGGTTTGCGGAGACTTCTCCTCGTGAAATTTTGCGCCATAAAATATAGGTCATTTGGCAAATGCCCTATATGTTTTTTTGCTGCCCCATTTTTTTCTGCCCTACATGTTTTTTCTGCCCTATATTTGTTTTGCTGCCTTTTTTTGCTGCCTTATGTAATTGTTTTTGCTGCTCTATATTGTTTTTGCTGCCCTATGCCCTGTTTTTTTGTTGCTGCCTTATTTTTTTTTGCTGCCCTATATTTTTTTGCTGCCCATATATCTGTATTTTTTTCTCCCGCGCTGCGCGCGCTCTACTGCTGGTGCTGGTGCTGGTGCTGGTGCTGGTGCTGGTGCTGGTGCTGGTGCTGGTGGTGCTGCTGGTGGTGCTGGTGCTGATCCTGGCGCTGCTGCTGCTGCTACTGGTGCTGGTGGGGGGGTCTTTTTGGTGGGAGCGAGAGCGGCGAGCGCTGCCGCGGGGGTTCCGGGCGAGGGTCGAAGATAACCTGGAAAAAATCGCGAGCGCTACCGAGGGGAGTTCCATGGTGGGGAGCGAGAAAGGCTGAAAAATAACAAGCGCTACCGCGGGAGGTCCATGGTGCGGAGCGAGGCTGGAAAAAAATTCGTGACGCTACCGTGTGGGTCCATGATGGGGAGCGACAAAGGCTGGATTGATGCTCCCGTGATGGCTCATGTCAAACCCCAGCCTTCATGATACGGGGTCAAGCTCAGAAGCTTACAATGACTAGAGTTAGGTATGGCCTATGGCCTTCAAATGTCCACATTTTCACACAAAGTTTGAACCCCCGCAGTCTGCCCGCACTGTTGAAGAACATGCAGACCATGTGTCCTGGGGTTCGGTGCTGAAAAGCCTTTGTCCCCGCCCCCCCATAAAATAAAGCGCAAATGAGAAACCAGGTTCCCCATTACAGAAGTGACCCGCGCAATTTAGCAGGTTAGGGGCCATCAAAAGTTGCGGATGCTGATGCTTCGATCATCCACAAGAAACTGATTCTCACGCTATACTAATGACTGGTTAGACCTACTGACTGGGAAGGTCCGGGTGTTGACAGTCGCAAGGATTGAAGCGTCGTCGTTTTTTGAAGCCCTTTCGGGCTTTGAATCCAAAATCCACAGGCAGTGTGCCAGTTCTCTGCTTTTTGGAGCCCCGAACCGCATTCCTTGTGGCCTTTTAGATTCATGTTTGTCGACATTTTGTCGGCGTGCTTTTTGGAGCGGCATTGGTTGGCTTCGAAGACATGCTGAGGTGAGGCCTCAGTACAGCACCTTGCATTTGCAGATCCGAGTCAATGCGGGCGATGTCTGCCCAGGCAAGAAGCAAGCCACAAAGCCACAGTGTGTCACACACATACACGCATATGAATATTTTTGCAATTTCCCTGCAGCTTCTCTGTCCGCAGGCGAAGGACGCGGCGTAGACCTCTTCAGGCCCGGATCAACATTTTCCCATCCCAACGCTTCTTTTTGCTTGGGTAAGCAGGTTGCAGAATCGGTTGAAGAGCGACCCGGAGTGTTTCCAAAGAGATGACGAGACCCTCTTCTATGAGGTGTGGATGCATTCCTGTTTGCAGCGGACTCTCCAAAGGATCTCTTTGAAGCCTGGAGGCGACGGCAAACTTGAGGATGGCCTTGTTGAAGGCCTGCGACAAGGCGGAGCAGCAGACAAGATTCGGAATCAAAGTTCTGACGGTTGGCTTTGTGGCCTTGCTTCGAGTTTGCGCGTCTGAGGCTGGTACCGGCGCCCGTGAAGTTGGCCCCAAGTCGCTCGTTCTCAGCCCGTAAAAAAGAAGCGCAAAGAGAAGAGATGATGTTAGAATGAGAAACTTACATGAGAAGAGGAATAGGGGTGTGTTTTGGTTGGTTTCAGTCTGACTTACAACTCTCTTCTTTTGGTAATTCATGAGAGGATCTTGCTGCTGGCGAGAGCCGGCTCCTCTTCGATTTTTTTTACGGAGGAAGGACATTCCCTCCACCTTTTCAAAACTGCACGCGTCTTGCGCAAGCAGGTTGGAAACTGCGCCTATGGAATACGCAGGTGACATCATGGGAGCTCATCCGGTAAAGATATGAGAAAACAGAAAAGACACGGGGCGCAGACCCAGCATGCTGGCGCTCTCCCGGGAGAGACTGCCTTGCCGCGCTTCCCGATGCCCGAGGCGCCGCGTGCACAGTTTTTGTGCGGCATGCGTGCGACATGCGTGCAACATTTGTGGATCAGCAATTTGCTGGCAGGCTCTTTGTCAGCCAGCATCCGAGGAAGACAAGGCCTCCAGCTGCTTGGCTCGGCAAAGCAGAGAAAAACTTCGCAGGATGCAGCAAGTGCCCAAAGTGACAACCAGTTTCTGAGTGTAGCACTTTGCGCTTGACTTTCCTACGTTTACGCATCTCTTTGCTATGCTATCTCTTGCCTCGCTTGCGAGCAAAGCAGCAAAATCATATGCTGAGGTGCAAAAGCGAGAAGCAGGTCCTCTGTACATAAACTCGGGGCCTCGCTGCACAACGTTGCTCCCATACAAAAAGATGTCTAACCGCTTCTACGCCAATTTTGTTTCACTTTGTACAGTGCATTCCTGTCTTAGGCCATGTCCAAGAGCCCGCCTTAGCGCAGAATTCGGGGAAATGCGCAAAGCATATGCCTGTTATTCCCCTGGAAAGGCGCGAGATTCGCGAGATGCAAACGCGGAGTTGTGCAGAAAAGTTAGATTTCGCCCATGAGACAAGAATCCAAATGCCTTAGCCCCGGGGCCCTTCCAAAAGCTCAGCCATCCCTGTGCGCAGCCTTAGCGCAGACTGGACCTTTGCTGTGATTCAGCAAGCCGATGCCGTACACAAACATCAGGACGTCTGGAAAGGCAGTGCAGCCCGTCATTCATGACAGAGCTTGGGGTCAACGGTGACGAAGCGACTGGGAGATAGCATCTAGCAGAACTTAGCATGAGTTTGGTATGCATCCGATGCTTCCTGGCACAAGGCCCCTTTCGAGGAGTTCCGCGCCAATTGTGCAGAGAGAAGAGAAAAAGAGGAAGGTGCTCAGGATGGTGGTCTCACACGTTGCTTGCGCAAACAAATGTCTCTTTTCTCTTGGCATTCTTGGCATTCCAGGCCTAGCCTAGCGATGCCTAGCGCAGAATTTAGCAATACGAGTAATACGAGTGAAGAGCTGGCTTTGTTGAAAGTTGAAAGCCTTAAAAGTCTTTCAAAACCCCCCGAGTTCGCTGCAAATCTAGGCAAGTGGTCACTCTGAAATGGGGTTGAAACTTCTGGGAACGCTGGTTCAGCTGGTTCAACGGCTTAGTGTTCAATGCGATATTAGTTGCCATCCCGGCTGCAGAGGGCCAAGACTTCATCGCGCTCTTCAAGCAAGAGCCCCTTCGCAGCACAGGCAAGTTGCAGGCATTCGAAGAAGTTGCAGCAGCACCCTCTACGATGGTAGCTGACGCCATGGGCAACCTCCCAGCGGAAGGACCGCGCAGCCGGCGCAGCCTGGCTTCTGCATCACAGGCAGCAAGACATCAGCAGCAACGTCTTTGCAAAAGCTCCTGAAAGTTTCCCAGGTGAGCATCTTTGATGAGACATGCTTCAAGGAAGCATCCATCACTTTGGATCCCCGCATGGCCCTTGCGCATTGTTGCTTGGTCAGGCAATTTCGATGCCTTCCCTTGCTGAGCGTCTGCTTAATGCGTCTGGTTCACGGAGATGCAGAGGTAAATCCACCATACTGGCAGCTAAGCGGCATGTTTCATGCAAGAATGAAGCATTATATGATTGATCTGCTTCGCAAAGGAACATCTCTCTGCTGAGAGGCTCGCGGGAGTATTGCTTTGCTTTGTGTTCGTTTGAAGCAGTTTCTCGCAAAGGGTGGGAGTCTTGGCAGGGCCCCGCTACGGCTTCCGAGGAGCGCCGAAAATGCCGAAGATCGGGGAGAAAGCCGAGGGCTTCAGGGCTTCCTTTTTTTTGCACCTTTTTGCTTTGTGCACGTTTTGCACTACTGTGCAGGAGGTGATCTTCGTTGTTGGAGTGCTCAGAAGCTCCAAGAAGAGATGCCTCCCAGCAACGCAGGAGATGCGAGCATGCAGTGAGCAGAGCAGAGAGCAAGCAGAGAGCATGTGCTAGAGCAGTGTGAGGGGCGCTGTCTGCTTGAGGAGACGGTTTGCTCTTGCGAAAGGTTTGGGCGCTCCGGGACTCCTGCTGCTCCCTGGGCCGGACCTCCCCGTGTTGGCTAGGCAGATAAGGGGCAAAGGGCAAGAGCTTGAAAGACCACTATTCACTATTGCCATTGCAAAAGTCTTGCAACTTGTATTGCAAAGTGCAACAGCTTGGCCTGTGGACGAACAGGTGACATGACCTTCCAGCGCTGCTGCTTTGCTAAGACCAAAAGCACCGTCCGTAGCATCCGAGCTTTTGACTTCCGCGAAGAGTCCGCTTGCTGGCCGTCTCCAGCGATCGCTCAGACCTGCTGCGACCTACGCAACTTGACGCAGGGATAGAGAAAAGCAGGGGAAGAGAGGAGGGGATAGAGGGGAGCAAGGCAGGTGTGAAGTCACGGTGTGACGGGTCGTTTTTGGTGTCAGGTCTCCCACAACTTTGCTCCTCCGCTGCTTGGGGCAAAGAGTCATGGACCTGCACTCAGGCAGTCTCTTTGGGGCCTCCTTCAAGTCTTCTTTGGCTGCGCTTTGATTCGCTGCACTTTGCTTCTAAGGAAGCACATGAAGGGATGCTGCCAACGGCCACCATCCACGAGGCGTCTGCGGAAAGTTTGTCTGCGCTGCGTTTGATTGTAGCGGCTGTCATCAGAGCTCCTCACAGAGGTGGCTTGGTAAGACTGCATACACATTTACCAAAAAAAAGAAGGAGGCAGCAAAGCCAAGGTGCCCGCTTGTGGCATTCCCGAAGGTGCAAACACACATCAGGGCAAGTAATGTGAACCTCGAAATGTTGATGACGGTTTCTGAACCCATCACTTTGCTTTGCTTTCAGCCAGGACATTTCTTGAGGCTCACTTGCAGGGCTGCCATTGGAGGCTCCATGCTGAGGACGAAGGGCGGGGAGAAGGGCGGTGCCTGATGCCTTCATAGATTCGTCTCAGCTCGTCTCAGCTCTGGTTTTCAGGAGGCTTTCGTCTTGCTCCAGGGCTGAGGGCTGAGCATGCTGAGCCAGTGCTTGCTTCAGTTCCTGAGAAGGCAAGGTGAGGCCGCGCTGGTGCAAAAGGCCAGCTGAAACTGCGTGTCCACCCGAAAGCTGCAATGAAGAACAGCAACCCCTTCATTTCTCTCTTTTCTAAACGTTCTGCCCAAGAAAAGCAACCTCTAAATCTTTTACACGTCCAAGGCGAGAGCTTGGCGGCCGCCCGGCTCCGGCCAGACCAGCTCGGGGCCTTGGCGCCGGCCTCGAAAGGAGCAGAGACTCGCAGAGACTCGGAGAGACTCGAGAAGAGAATCTGAGGAGAAGTCAGGGAGACTTACTTGGAAGAGGAGAAGAGTAGAAACTGGAAAAAAAGGAAGAGAGCCCATCAGAGAGTCTGAGCTTGGAGTGAAGGAGTTGGAAGGAGGTTGGGGGAGAGGAGTGAGACTAGGAGGGAGAGTTGGAGTCGCCTGGGAAAGAAGGACGGAAAGAAGAAGAGGAAGGAGGATCTAAGAATGTTCCAGGTGGCCTATTACCAGCGCACTGGGGATGTGCTCCCCAATCTGTTGGAGATCCAAATGGCCCTTGTGCGCCGACAAGCTTCAAAGCAGCACCGAGGATTTACGAAGAGCTTGTCTTCGCACAGCACCTTCCACAAACAAGGTTGATGGACTAGAGATGTGCCCGCCGGCCATGCTACTGGCACAGCTCTTGCAGGCAAAAAGGGTAGACGGCCTATTTGGCTTTGGAAGCCTGTACTGTGTTTTTTTAGGTGGAGCGTGACAGTCTCTCGATTCCACCCGTCGTCACGAGGCCACCAAGTTCCAAACCCATCTCGAAGCGATTCGTGTTTGATGGAAGGTCTGCTTTAGCTCGCCTTCGAGCTTTCTGGTTGAGACTTCAAGAATCAGGCATCCACTTTTATGAGGAGCCCTTGTCACAGGCATTGTGCCCTTTTGCCCCAAAAAAGGCTTCCGCGAGCTGGCCGTGGCCCCCGTGGGGAACCGCACCGACAAGGGAGAAGCCGACGAGGCCAAATGCAAAATTCATCGAATTGAGAAGCGAAAGTTTGCAAATCAAATGCAAAATTTAGTGCCTTCGCGTCTGTGCGTCTCTGCGCCTGTGTTCGATCTTAGGCCCGCTTTGGGCCGGCCGGCTGGTTGAATGCCACGCTTCGAGGCATCGAGGAAAGCTTCCGCCGAGTCGACTTCCAGGCACCGCATGGCACCGCATGGCACCGCATGTCCATGTATGTCAATGTGGGCACCTGGGCACATGAAAAGTCAGCTTTCTTGAAGGTGAAAAGCCTAGCTGCTCTAGCTTCACGAAGGAAGCGCGACTTCAAGGCAGGAGCTTGGCCTACCTGCGGTCCTGCGGTCAGTGGTAAGTTGTTGCCTTTTCCAGGTGAATGTGGTGCTGCCAGTCTGCGCACATCACGACGAGAAGCATCTTGAGCAGCTAGAGCTTCTGGTTCTCAAGGCTGCACAAGTTCCCGAAGTTTAAAAGCAAGAGTCTCTTTTAGTAACGCCTTCAATTGAAGAGGAAGAAAGGAAGAAGCTTTTGGCCCAGCAGAGCCGGTGAAACCTGACAACAGCACAGAGTAGAAAACAACACCGTTAAGTTCACCACTTTCCCCCGAACTCCAAAAAGTTTCCAAAGCTTCGCTGGCTTCGCTGGCTTCGCTTCCTCCCTAACCGTTACGTGACCCTTGCGGGGTCATACCCTTTCCTCATGCAAAACCCCTTCAGTCTTCCGGTGCTCTGGAAGTGAGTCGAAGAGAAAAAAGGGTGCACGGTGCACGTTGAAAGGAGGCGCGGAGGCTGGACGAGGCCGCTTGAGTTCGCTCATGCTCTGCAAGATGTCCAATTGTTTGTTGTTTGCAGGTCTTCGACCTCTACATCTACGACGTCTGCTTTGGTTTTTTCATGGCCGCTGCATACCAAGAGGACAACGAGGCGCTGACGTCCTCCCAAAAGATCCGTAAAGGTCGCTGTTGAAGCGGAGTGAGAGAGCGAAAAGCATGGCAATGTAAAGCATGGCTGCGATGGCTGACATGGCTGAGCTCAGGTGGAGGTGGAGGTGGACTTGTCGAGCGGAGCCGCACGGCCAGGCCTCCTTGAGCCGAGCTTCAAACACTCTTCAACTTCCACTTCTCTACTTCCAAGCTTCCCCTCATGTTTGCGCCAAGGTTCCGTGCACTCCCTGCATCTGCCACCGCAGCTGCTGCGAGTGGCCCGCTACTTCAGGCAACGGAAAGAGAAACATCAAAAACAGGGAAATTTGAACGTCCAAAGTACAGGCGTGCCTTCGTGGTGCCCTTCTTCGAGGAGAAGCTGCAAGTTTGTGATGTGGAGATGTGGGGAGAGGCTGAAGCCTCTTGCTTTCACAGGAGCTGCCCACGGGCGAAGTGGTGCCAAACCTGCACCATGTGGCCAAGCACTATGACCACCTTCCGGACAGAGCTTCGAAGCTTCGCAGCTTTGCAAAAACTTAGGTTTTTAACTCTACATCATTAGCTATCGTGTTACGTTCACCTACCTGGCCTCCCAAAACACCTCCCAGCACCATCCGCTACACCTCCCAGCACCATCCGTTACACCTCCCAGCACCATCCGTTACACCTCCCAGCACCATCCGTTACACCTCCCAACACTATCCGCTACACCTTCCTAGCACCATCCGTTACACGTGCCCAACACCATCCGTTACACCTCCCAGCACCATCTGCTACACCTCCCAGCACCATCTGTTACACCTTCGCAACACCATCCGTACTCCGCCCAGCAAAATCCATTGCACATCCCCAACACCCATTACACACCACGACAGTAGCAGCTTCTCTGCCAACAGCTGCAAACATGACTCAGTAACATGATCGATGATTGCCTCAGAAGCCGGTGACTTGTACACCATCCCCCCAAAAGTACCCCGGGGTATAAGGACCCTATATGACTATATAGAGCTTATAAGGCCTGCAAGATGATGCAACCATCTTGAGCTTACGCACGTGTTACCATGTGCTGACAGCTGTGTTTGATCAAAAGAAGTGTCTGCGACTCTAGAGGATTCAGCCCGCAGTGTTCTCCCTGCCATAGAGTTCCTCAGAGTCCCCCTTCGATCACTTGCTTGGGCGAATTACCTGCAGAGCTGAGTGCTCGCATGGTAGCGGAGCCTTCGGTTTAGAACCGTTGGCTCGACGATCCAGGGACCAAGTGGCAGCAAGACGTTGAGACCTCTTGTTGAGTATGAGCGCGAGCGACGCTGGTACAGCGCCCAACAAAAGCAGGGACGGACCGCCTGCCTGGAACGGCGCAGCCGAGACATTCCAAGCCTATGAGGAAGCCGCAAGGCTTTATGAGCAGACGACGCCCTACCAGAAGAGATACCTGTGCGGGCCGAAACTGCAAAATGCCTTGGAAGGAGCTGCGCTGAGACTGGTGGTTGGTAAGAGGCCAGACTGGCTATCCGACAATGGGGGCGTGGATAGACTCCTGAATCACTTGCGGCAGTGCCTGGGAAAGCCTCAGATGCCCGAGCTTAGAGATCTGCTTAGCAAGTATTTTCGCTCCTCAAAAAGGAAAGCTGGTGAGACAATGAATGGATATATCACAAGGAAGTGTGAGATCTACGTTCGTTGTCAGCAGGCACTTAGCAGAGTCAAGCCCCACCACAGCAAGGAAGCGACCCGGAAGGACTACCGCTTCCCGGCTGGTTCCGAAGGAGGCCATCCTCGGGAACGCCGAGTCAGTGAAGATTCATGGGCTAGTTACACCGGTGGTGGTGGAGGACAGACAGGTGACCCTTCCGCAGAGACCGGGCCCGAGACCGCGAACTCAGGTACCCAAGCCGCGGCTCCGACATCCCGCGAGGCCGGTAATGAGACCCAGAACACGCCATCGGGCTCCTGGAGCTGGGACCCGGGGTGGCGGAATCAGCAGTGATCTCCGAGTTCGTGGTCCTGGGGCTATGGCAGTGACTGGCAGTGGGGTTCGTGGTCCAACCAGGAGTGGACCTCATATCCGGGACAGGCCAATGATGCATATCCAGAGGTGGTTCCTGAATTCATTCAGGCGTGGTTGCTCCTGTCCGATGCGAACCTGGAAACTCAGGAAAGTTCATGACCGCGATTCAAGGTGATCTGACCTTGCAGCGCGTGGCCCAGGAGCTGCGCTGTTCACAGCTTCCGGGGTCGACAGCTGGGTGCTTGGAGTGTCTCCAGTCTGCAAGGCCAGCTCGGGATCCGGCACGCTAGCAAAGCACACGCATGGTGAGGCATCATCGACTTCTCGCAAGTCCTGAGGACAGTCTACTGGCACCGTGAAGCAGACAAATGGGGCCATCTCAGCATTACGGTTGCCCTCCTTGGGCTGAGGAGCCGGACAGGTTGCGGCCCTGTGGCCTGTCTGGCCACACCTGAGGCAAGTGATCTTCTCTTCTCGACGGGGTTCCGGACCACGAGAGGATGAGGAGCTCTCGAAGTACTGCCGGTTGAGCTTCACCATCTTCTGACGTTCTCGAGCTACCCTGAGTGTCCTTCTGGCCTGTTGCACTGCCGCCAGTGCTTGCTGACACTCAGTCTCAGCTTCTGCCCAAACCGCATAGCCTTCCTCATTCAACTCCTCCTCTGCGGGGAACTGACTTTCCGCAGTCTCATTCTCGTAGTCAGAACCCTCAGCCTCCAGGTTGCCCAGATATCCCTGGTGGCGCCGCTGTCCGTCCCGCCTTTGAACTTCAGAGTCTGGGAAGTGAGTGGGAAAGCAATCATCGACTGTGGAGCGAACGTGTGATGCAGTTGAGTGACAATGGCATCAACCGCGTGGATGTTCATGACAAGCCGGTGTTTGGGGTTTGGAAACTCATCTGAAGACCGGTGCGTGAGCACGCTGCACTTGAACCTGAAGGCAGGAGGACGTGCAGGCCAGCTGAAGGTCCACGCGTTGGACAAAGGGACTGCCCCCATTTTGTTTTCCGTAGCTTCGTTGAAGGCACTGGGTGCCGTGATAGACTTTTCAGAAGGCACAATGGTGTTAAGGAAAGTTGACCCCAGTAGCCTCCTGTATCTTGAGCACTCCCGTACTGGGCATCTTCTTCTTCCCTTAACAGGTGACCTTCTGGAGCAGGCAGTAGCTACGAGAGTCCCGGTGCCAAGCCTCAGCAGTTTTGTACAGTCCCCGAGCGTCGGATCCAGCGAGGATCAGACCAGCAGCGAGTAGGGACAACTCCTTCCTTCTTTGAAGCCTGATAAAAGAAGGGAGGGCAGTGTTTCAAAATCAGGTTTGGGGTGCAACACAGCTGAAAACAGTTGTGAGCCACATGTTAACGTTTCCTTCAAAGCCGAGAGGAATGTACCGCAGGGAAGTAGTCAGGGTTGTCAGGGAGTTAGGAACGGTGGTTTTGTCAGTAGCAGCAGTTTTGAATCTCCGGACAAGCAGGTGAGACAGGAAGATCCAGACAGGGTTTCCAATCCGGCAGCCAATCACAGTTCAGGTTTGCCTTCAGCAGTGTTTTGCAGTGACTCTTCCCTCGACCCTCCACATGTCCGACCTGACCCGCGAACAGCTCCGAGCAGCACTTCGAGCTCTTGGAGAAGAGCCACCGACAGGGTGGACGAAGATGGAGCTTCGTTTGAGGCTTCAAGAAGTCACCGGCGAGGATCTCAGCCTCTCCTACAAGGTCCTCCGTCGGAATACCAGGAGTGGCTTCGTCTCCTGAAGCAGGCAAAGACCAAGAAGGTCACACTGCAAAAGTTTGTGGGCGAGAAACTCAAGCTGACCAATGTGGATCACATGACAGTTGCTCAGCTCGAGCTTCAGGCTCTTCGGAAGATCTACGAGATTGCCAAGCCTCACCGCACGGATCCAATTGGCTTCGGCAAGTTCAGTGCCAAAACATACAGCGAAGTGATGGAGGAGGACAAAGGCTACTGCAACTGGATTCAGAAGACCGCAGCCGAGAACCCGACGGGTTGCGATCCTCGTCTTCTTCGATTCAGTCAGTGGCTCGAGATCAACAGCAAGGAGGAGCTGATTCCCGAGGACCAGGCCCCCTCCAAGATCAAGGTTCCGGTGTCGCTCTCCAAGGCGACCAAGAAAGGAAGCAGCTCCGAAGCTACTTCCAGTTCTCCGACCACGAGCACCACTTCGCGAGAGACCAAGATGGAGACGATGATGGCAATGATGTCAGACATCAAGGGCGAAGTGGACAAGATCAAGGAAGAGCAAAAGCCTCGGAAGAAGGGTGCCAAGGCCCGGGACTCCGAGTCGGAAGCCTCCAACTTCCAAATGGTGATGCAGACCGAGACGGACTAGTGGTCACCGAACCCAGACCAATGACATATGATCTAGGCGACTCCGGGTCAGATGACTTGGACCGTCCATCTTGTAAAGGACTCAGTGCTTCCCAACGGTTGAGTCAGCAGTTGTCACTGGGGAGGGCTCGCCAGATTGAGGAGCAGTCATGGGCCATGGTTCCTAAGGTGTTCGAGGGTCTAGTGACGTTTGGAAGAACTGTGTTGATGGAGATAGCCTGCAGCGAAACAAGTCTCCTCTCCAGGGAAGTTCAAGAGCTTTGTAACAGTGAGAGTGCAGCCAGTAGATGTAGTTGGTGGAACAATTGTGATTTGGCAAGCAATGCGGGAGTGAGACTTGTGCTCGAGCGCATTGAACTGGAGCAGCCGGCTCACGTATGGATCAGTCCTCCTTGTGGTCCCTATTCCCCTTTACAGAACGTTAATAGTAGGAGCGAGGCTCAGAAGGAGGAACTGCGTCTGAAACGTGAAGCAGCCATGCGAATATACGTTGGTGCTTGCATAGTCATTCATGATTGTGTTCAGCGAGGTATCCATGTCACCTTAGAGCTGTCTGAACGTTGTCAAGCATGGAGGTTGCCAATCTTTCATTCCTTACAGGCCAAGTACAACATGTATCAAGCAGTGGCAAAGGGATGCCGTGTGGGTCTCCGGGACAAAGCGGGGGTTCTCACGCAGAAAGGTTGGCGGGTTATGACCACTCATAGGCGACTTTCGGAGATCCTCGATCTACCATGTAGGTGCCCCAAGGCTTTTAAACATGGGAAGTGTGAAGGGTCAGCGGCATCTCTGAGCGAGCTTTACACCAAGGAGTTTGCCAAGCCCGCTGCTAAAGGAATTGTGCAAGAGATGGACTACACTGCCTTGATGCAAGAGTGTGAGAAGCCCACCAGTCTTCCTCCCCAATTTGGTGTGGGAACCTTTTGTACATGTAGTGAAGTATCACTCCCCCAAAAGCCCAGAAAGTGCAGCAAGTGTTTAACTGGGGAGGGTATAGAGGGCCCGAGTGTCCACCAGATTGAGGATGAAGACAATGAGGTGTTCCAAACCAATCAAGGCCTTGTAGAACATCTAGAACAACAAGCAGAGACCCTCAACCGGGACCAAGCATACCAACATGCCAGTTGTGAAGCATTCCTCAAGGAACTCCAGCAGATCAAAGACCAGAGCCGTAGGAGCTTAGTCCAATCTGAAACCGGCAAGTACTTGATTTTTGGAGCGTATTCCCATGGCAACCATTACGGTCTTACCCGTAGGACTTCGCGATTTCCCAAAACCATTGGATACCTCCTGTCTTACTTGCGCCATTGGAGTCACGAACCTATCACGTCCACCTCCCTAGTGATTAACTTCAATAGTCGTGCGGGCGTACATCGGGATGTTCATAACTCGGGAGAGTACCCCAACACCTCTAGGGAAGTACACGAAGGGAGAATTATGGGTTGAGGACTGCCCATCCACCATGTCCCCTACACAGTCAAGCAACACCCAGACAATGAACCCAGGAGTGAGCGCCTGCAATCAGGTGCTTCCAGACGGCAGGGAGGTCAAAGGATCGCTACAAGACATTCGTCAGCAATTGACATGGTTTTCCCCAAAAGCATGGCATGGTCCTAGGTTGTGGGAAGGGGAACGTATGACAGTGGGTACCTATGTAACAAGGGGGCACGACCATTTAAACTCCGAAGACAGAGGGACATTGGTAAGACTGGGTTTTGACATTCCCCAGGACTCACTTCAAAGCGCGTGCGCGGCTGAAGGATTGCGGATGGGTCCTAGGCATCCTGTAGTAGATCCCGAAACCCTGAATAAACAACTTTATCAGCTCCACGCGGCAACAGGGCACGGTAGCCTAAGTAGCCTGATAAATTTGCTCAAGAAGAGGAATGTTTCTCCCGCAGTCTTGGAAGCAGCGCAAAAGTTCACATGTTCCGTTTGTCAAGAAAAGCCAAAGATCCAACCCCGACACTTTGCCTCCCTGGAACCTCTACCTCCTCGATTTCATACCATATCTACGGATATAGGACATTGGAATCATCCTCAGAGCGGGGAACCTATTCAGTTTATGCTCATCATTGACGAGGGCAGCCGGTTCCGAGTAGCCAAGGCCCTAACCAAAGGCTCGAAACAACAGCCAAACGCCGCATCATGTATCCAGTACTTAAGAGAGGGCTGGGCACAGTATTTCGGCATGCCAAGAACTTTACGCCTTGACCCAGGGGGTGCGTTCAGAAGTCAGCGTATTGTTGATTTCTGTGATCAGGAAGGGATTTATCTTGACAATACCCCTGCAGACGCGCATTGGCAAATTGGGGTTTGCGAACAGGCTATCAAGGGAACTAAGGAAGTAATGACCAAACTGTGTCTGAATGAACCTGAGATCCCTCCCGAAACTGCTCTGGCAACGGCCATCCTGACCTTTAACAGTCGTGACAGTGTGAGAGGTTTCTCCCCCATTCAACATGTGTTTGGACAAAGTCCTGATTCCACGGGTAGGTTCCTCCAAGAGGCCCAGAGGCTCCCTGAAGAATTTCTAGTAGAAAGTGCAACCGCAGATCTAGAGCTAGCTGCAAGGCGTAGGTCCGAAGCTGAGAAAGCACATTCAGAATGGGTCGCAGCTCAGCGCATCTCTCGGGCGCTGAATTCTAAACCTCGACCCCCTTTCAAGTTCAAACCAGGGGATCTCGTTTATTTTTGGAGGTCCCAGGAAGCGGGAGAAGTACCATCAGAAGCAGAGTGGTCCAGAGCCCAGGATATCCTTCAAGAAGTACCGCCAGTAAGGTTCCGGTTTCGTGGCAAGAGAGCTCAACCTGAGCCTGTTGAAGTTCCAGAAGAACCAGAGACTGGAGGTGCGACTAGCTCACGAGATCAAGCATGGTACATCGGAGGCACGACCAACAAGCTTGCAAATGCCATCAAGGGTGAAAAGTGGTATGACCATGTTCCTGAGTCAGCCTGGTTCTCAGAAACTTCAGATTACTGGACAGACAAATCTGCAGCAGTGGAGATAGAAGTCCAGCTTCCCGATTCCCGACAAGGAATGGAGCACGCTTCTCGTGATTTGGAAGCCTTCTTCACTGGCGCTTTGAAGCGACGGGCGGTAGAAGTGTCTGAGAAGCGTCTGTCTCCTGAGGACTACGAACGGTTTCAAACTGCCAAGAGTATTGAGATCAAAAATTATTTGGCCGCGCAGGCTTTCGAGGTTCTCCCACGCCATCTTCAACCTTCGAAAGAGAAGGCCATCCAAATGCGGTGGCTGCTGACTTGGAAGATCAAGGATGATGGAAGCACCAAGCTCAAAGCGAGGTGCGTCATACTGGGGTACCAGGACGAAGCCTACGAGCACCGTGCGACGTCCGCACCGGTGATGACAAAGCAGACACGACAACTCTTCTTACAGCTTGCAGCGAACTCCAAGTGGAGTGTTTCCAAGGGGGACATTACAGGGGCCTTCTTACAAGGCAAAGAACTGACGGAGACCTTGTATTGTACTCCAACTCCGGAGATATGCGCAGCGTTGAACATTCCCAGTGGCTCGGTCACGCGACTTCGTCGTGCCGCGTATGGTTTGGTACAAGCGCCTCTTCAGTGGTATCTTACCATCGCCGAATTTCTGGAAGAAATAGGGTTGGAACGCTTGCGATCAGACCCCTGTGCCTGGGTGTGGAGGCCGGACAGAAACAGCCAGCCCAAAGCCATGGTCGTTGGGCACGTTGATGACTTTTTATTCGCAGGGTCCGACACAGACCAAGGATGGCAGGACTTGGTAAGACGCATTAAGGAACGTTTTGCTTGGGGTTCTTGGGATGATAGAGACTTTGTACAGTGTGGGGTCAGGATACAGCAAATGGACGATGGGTTTAAGTTATCTCAGGAAGCCTATGCTGTTATGGTTCCCGAAATCCCAATCAATAGCACCCGAAGACGTGAACGCAACGAAGTTACCACGGCATGGGAAAAGTCCAAACTTCGAGCTACATTAGGGGCCATATCCTGGCACGCACAACAAGTAGCCCCCCACTTCTCTGCGGAGGTTGGACTTCTCCTGTCCGAGGTAAATACTAGTACTGTAAGTACTCTCCTTCAGGCTAACCAATTAGTGTCAGCGGTAAGGGCCCGTAAACGTCATGAAATGTTGGTCCACAGCTTTCCGGAAGGGACAGAAATGGCATGCTATGCGTGGGTAGATGCTGCGAACGAGAATCGTCATGATGGAGGTAGCACCCAAGGGATTTTTATAGGGATGGCCCCCATAGGTATGTTACAAGGGGAGTTGGGTCAAGTAACACCTATAGTTTGGCATTCCCACAAAATTGACAGGGTCTGCAGATCTCCAGGGGCAGCAGAAACCCAAGCGGCAGTTAATGGTGAAGACAATCTGTACTTTGTGCGTTATCAATGGGGTGAGATGATGTACGGGTTAGGTTGCACCAAAGCACCAGATAAGACAGTGGCCCGCGTAGTGGGGTGTGTCATTTCTGACTCGCGTAATGTCTATGACAAACTTCAAAGTGAGGTCCTGACAATTAAGGGAGCTGAAAAGAAAGCTAATATAGAATTGCTTAGTCTCAAGGAGGCACAGCAAAGGACAAAGGTAATCATCCGCTGGGTCCATTCAGAAGCTCAACTGGGAAACTCCTTAACGAAGAAGCATGGAGGCAAGGAACTGGAAATGTTCTACAAGATGTCTCACACATGGCGTATTGTGGAAGATCCCTTGATGAGATCAGCAAGGAAGCGTAAGGTTGCCGGTCTGGACAGCTTGGAAGGAGATTCAAAAGGGGATAAGATAGAAGACTCAAAGACGTAACATTCTTCTCGGCGATGTGTAGAGTCAGTGGGGGAAAGAACGGGGCATGCAAGATGATGCAACCATCTTGAGCTTACGCACGTGTTACCATGTGCTGACAGCTGTGTTTGATCAAAAGAAGTGTCTGTGACTCTAGAGGATTCAGCCCGCAGTGTTCTCCCTGCCATAGAGTTCCTCAGAGTCCCCCTTCGATCACTTGCTTGGGCGAATTACCTGCGGAGCTGAGTGCTCGCAAGGCCTACATAGGCCTACAAAGGTTCTATAATTTGGGCGGTGGTACTATTGGAGGGATAGCATTGCGACCAACAAGAAGCACAATTTCTTGCTGGAACTCGAGTCCAAGTCTTTGGTCAATCTTGAGCGAAGTGCCACATCAAGAATACAAAAGAGCCTGCCAGCTTTCAAGGCAAGCTTTCAACTCCCCGTCACCGGCCCCGGCCGGGCCGTTACAGGTCTGGCGGAGGTGGGGGCCCCGACCGGCCCGTTACAGGTGTGGCGGAGGTGTAACGGAGCTCATTACAAGCTTTGGAAACACAAGAGACCTATTCGATACAAGCCTTGGGAACACAATAGCCCTATTTGTTACACGCTTTGGGAACACAAGAGCCCTGTCTGTTGCAAGCTTTGGGAACCCCAAGAGCCTGTCTGTTGCAAGCTTTGGTAACGCACCCTAAATAATTTGGGAATGCATGAGGCCCCTGATATCCCCTGGCCAGTACACCCCCAAACCTATAGCCTTGTACTGTTGAACTCTTTATTGGGAAGGTCGCGAAAGGATGGTCAAGTTAGAAAGATACCCCGAAGCCCGATGGATGGCCTGCCGGTCTTCTGAGATCTACTGAAGGTGGTATAGACGGGCCCATGTTTTCCTGGAAGTGTAACGCAGAGGCCCCGGCCGGCCTGTTACAGGTCTGTTGGAGGTGTAACGCAGGGGCCCGTTACAGGTCTGCTGGAGGTGTCACGGAGGGGCCGCGGCGCGCGGTCTGTTACAAGTGTAACGGAGGGGCTGCGGGGCCGGCGCAATACAGGTCTGGCGCAGGTGTAACGGAGGGGGCCGTCCCTTACACCTGCAGGGCCTTGTGTTCCCAAAGCTTGTAATGGGCAGGGAGGGCTCTGGTAGTCTCAGAATTTGTAACGGACAGGCGCTGGTGCGTTACCAAAACTTGTAACGGACAATCCCTGGGAGAGATGTTGCCCAGACATTCCCCCGTATAGCAAAGGTCGCGAAAAGATGGTAGACTTAAAACCTAATTCTAAACGCTGTACTTTCCTTTCTTCTCCGATCTTGGTTTACCTGTTTCTGCCAGGACTTCATTCTTGTCCTACATCCAGGTCAGCTCCCAAGTTCTACGCTTTCAGGATTTGCAGGGAAGCTGACGATTGGTTGCGTTCGTGTCATGGCCGAAAGGCACGTTAGGGCGAAATGCCTTTTGGACAGCTGTGGAAATGCATGTGGCTGCTGCTATCGGCTCTTCAAGTCCCTATGATGAGCAAGTTCTTGGGTATACACATCCTAGAAAAATGCAGGTCGTGCTGCTGCGTCCCAATTTTTAGTCGGGAATTGTGTTTTTTAGCATTTCAAATCCGTCTGTGGTCTTGTATCTTGGGAAGCTTCGGAAACGCAGTTGGTTCTGGGCTCTCGCGGTGGTCTTGGTTGCCGAAATGCCTTTTAAGGACTTGAAATTGCCCTGTGATGCTCTTGGACTGCTCCTGGAATGCTTTCGGGCTGTACTTGGCATGCATGGGCCAAATTGTTGGGTGCCTTGCACGTGCATTTGGCTATCTAATTTCAGGCTCTTGTCGTTGTGGTGTGGTCTTGCTCACCCAGATTCATTTTCGGAAGCTGTTGTAATGCGTTTGGTCCTTTGGTGCTCTGGGGCGGCACTTACGTGCATGTTTTCGGACAGTTTGGTTCCGCGGTTTAGGTTCGGTTCCACAATGTTCCTGGATCAGGTTTGGAGAAGCAGCATGGAACTTTCCGAAGACTTGTTTTTGTCCGCCTGTGCACTAGACCCGAGGGATTGCGGAGTGGGTATCTGATATAATGTCATCTTTCAAATTGGCTTCAAAGGCTGTAGGTGAAAGCTTGCCTGAAGCCTTTGGAAGAGGAGGACAGACACATTTCTCCGGCTCTGGTTCTAGAACGCCAGAAACGTCCTCCTTGAGCAAGCGTTGCCCACCAGCTACCCGGAGATGGAGATTTCTCAAAAGAATCTGACACATGCTCCTTCATGGAGTTGCCTTCTCATCCGTTATCTCGAAGGCCCTAGACACCCAGCCCGAGTAGCTTCTTCCTGAGGTCTGGAAGTTCACACCACCAGTTCCGTTTACAGGTGGAATAGGCTTTGTATACGACTTTCGTGAGGTAGAGGATCTTGTGGGAGCCCTCGATTGAAGTAACTTCTACTGGCTCCAAAATTGCCCTAAGTCGCAGATTGCGCGAAAAGATGTTTGAAGAGGATGTCACAAGCCGAAAGTCAAGCTTTGGTCCATGTGGAATGTCCTGACAAGCCTTCTTTCTCCTTTGCTTATGTGCACCATGTGCAGATGAGGCCCTCCAATGTGGGGGAGGTTACTTGAAGTTTGCACTGAGATGGCTACGAGCACGTGGAGATTTTTGCTCTTCTCGCTGTGCTCAACTCGCTCTCCTTGAGGAGATCTTTGAAAACGTGAGGGTTTGTCAGCGTGAGCCACATGAAGTATGAGAGTGCGCCAGGCTCTTTCCTGAAGTGCGCTTCCTCCATTTGGGCCGCCGCCACAATGGGCCTGTGGACCCGCCCGGGCCTTGAGCTTGTTGAAGGAAAGCAGAGCCGTTTTTCTCCAAGGTCTGGGCGGGTTGCTTCGGAACTTCGTTCCTACTGCCGGATGCGAGAACGGAAAGCAAGACCCTCACCCTCCGGACCCTCGGTTTTCCGAGGCCTGGCGGACAGAAAGAGATGTTGTGGGTCGGAAATTGTATTATTGGAAATTGAGGAAAATGCTTTGTTTTTTTTTGCAGATGGCTTTTTACATTTTTTCAGGTGACTCGGTGTTGGAGCGGTCATCTACACGGTCGCCGACAGGACGATCTTCAGGGCGTGGCTCGGTGGTTCGGTGCAGAGCGGTTAGAGAGCTTCGCAGGACGCTACTGCCACTGGGTGGAGCTGGCCTGGGAGCTCCTTTTTGGTCGCCTGCCGCAGCTCCCGCAGGCATGGGGCATGGGAGAAGTGGGAGCTTGAAAGAGAAAGAAAGAAACACGTTAAAAAAACACACCAAAAGAACGAGCTCACTGAGGACGACTACGGGGGCTACGACTTCGCCCAGTTCATCGCCAGCCGCGCCGCGGCACAGAGCCGGCCAAAGGCAGTCAAGCAGTCAAAAAGAAGAAAACGACTGAAGTGAGTTAAGTGTGGGTTAAGTGACTTAAGTGAGTTAAGTGAGTTCTTGTGGGTGAATTCTGCTCATTCAGAAAGCGAAAGCGGAGGGCATCAAGAAAAGACTTTACAAGTGCTCACTCTGATGAGAGATAAGAGGGAAATCAGCTTTCAAAGGCTTTTTTGGGTGGAGAGAAGAAGTTCTTAAAGGTGAAGCGCATGCGGCGAAGGTCTAAAGAACCAAAAGTTATTTTAGTGACTAAAACTGTTCTGGGAGATCTTGGGAGGCCTTTTGGCAGAATGCTTGGAGAGCTCTCTGCAGCCGGCGCCCAAAGCAGCCGCACAGGAAGAGCAAAGGTTATGCAGAGACGCATGTGATGTGAGACGTGTGCTCATTGTGTGCGTGTGCTCTGTCTTAATCTTTCTTCAAGTCGTTGATTTCAGAAAAAATGTGCTTTGAAAGAAGATGGCTTCGCAAACCTTTAGGCGCTGCGAACTACCAGCTGCTTCCGGGAACGACCTTCATCTCTTGGAAGGCCAGTACAGGAAAGGTAAGGAACCTGAGAGCCCAAGTCTTCTGCAGGAGATTACCGACACAGAAGGCCAGCGAAGGCTCTACGGCTTTCACAAGGCCCTGGCAGATTCTTTGGCAGATGCTTTCCCTTCAACACTTCAGCACTCTGTGTTTTTGACCTGAGGGCTTGACGACGGCCTTCGAGCACTTGTACCATGTGATCTTCAACCCCCAGCCGCCGACCCAAACCTGGCTGTGGCCCACCCGGTACGGTGCCCAAACTGCCCCGAGAAACGAAGCGGCGAAGCGCAGAGTTTTTCCTTCGACACTGGTCTTAGGCTGCGGGACCCGTCCCTTGCCTTCGGCCTGAAGTTCCCCATGGGTGGCAACCCGGCACTGCCCCGCACTTGACCGCTTGCTTGCTGCCCATTTTGCCAAGTTGCGTGCGAGTTGAGTCCGAAGAACTCAGGCTTCGCTATTACCGTTGGGCGCCACACACGCCATTGCAGCTGTAAGCAGTTTGCTCGTTACAGAAAAGTGCCTTTTCCTGCTGCCGGATTTGCAACAGCTTTTAACAGATTCTGTCTTGATATCATCGCAAAGACCTGAAGATCTACTTCGACCCGCATTAAAGACTCCTTGTCCTTCTGCGGACCCAGCCGCTGGTGCATTGATGTCTGAGCGGGGATTGTGTTTGCCGTCAGATTTGGGCTCAAGGTCTGCGGGAGCTTTGCTAGTCCCTCGAATTTTGCAAGACCTGCTAATGCACTGTCCCAACTCCACAAGACGTCCTATAGGATCAGAGGCAATTCAGCTTTCCTGGCTAGAGTAGGGCCCGGAAAAGTAAAAAGAACCTCTGGCAATGCCGATGTTGCGGCATCCTCAGCATCATTGAAGGTCCTAGTTTCCATTTGAGTGTTGGGGGAAGCTTGGGAAGCACGGGTGTTATTGAAACTGCTTTTCGGGGTGCAACACGGGACCCTCGACTGTGCTGATGATGTCGTGTACGGGCGTGCGCCCGCCCGTACGCGAGCATCATCAGCACAATTGGGGGTCCATTTCGCTACTTATAGCTGTGGTTTTTTGCCCGTCTGGGTTGTGCTTTCGGAAGTTTTTTAATTTCAGGGTTTTCAGGCCTCAGGGTAAATGTATCATAACAAAAGCAGTGTCAGGATGGGAAGCTGTAGGTATTGGATCATAGTGTGTCCGTAACGGCGCTGGGTAACGGATCAGCGTATCAGATCAGTCTGTGGTTGTACTGGATCGGTGGCTCCCAGCAAACTGGATCACGGACTCAGCCTGTGACAGCTCAGCCCTGTGACATCAGCCCTAAACCCTAGACTCTAAATGGACATATTGGACGTATAGCCATTACATAGAAGGAGATTCCAGGCCCTAAGCTCTAAACTCTAAACTTTCCGTGTGGGTGATTCAGGGGAACTCCTCTTTAGGTATAAGCCGTACAATCGAAAACCAGCATCCTTGACTCTAAACCTTGTGTTGCGGTTTAGGGTTTTAGGGTTAAGGGTTTAAGGATTAGGAAATGAAAGTCCATCCAAGAAGCCCAAACATGAAGACCCGGATCTGGAGCTGGAGCGGCTACTTAGGGAGCAGGCAAATAGCTCAGGATCTGCGATGACCGGTGAAACTGATGCATTGCTGCGCTCGCTAAGAGACAGTGTTGGACAGGTAGGACAGTTGGCTTCTGTAGTCACTTCACGAGTGACGCGGGTTGAGAGGTCTGAGCAAGACCGTGATCAATACAACAGCAGAATGGATAGGATGGAGCAAAAGCTCAGTCGTCTCGCCGGACTCGTTGAAGGTCAAGCACGTTCTTCTCCGACCTCGACTGGGGATAGACAAGCAGACGCCCCGAGAAGATTTCCACCCCCTCATGCTGCATCGTCATCAGACCCATGGGCCAGATACAGCTCAGCTACAACAGCATCAGTCAACCATTCACCGGCACATGAGACTGTTGCCTCCCCGTCCAGAAACACAGGCAATGACGACGACACGGATTACTGCCACATTGTTTTTGGCGGCTGGGGACGAGATACCAGACGTGCTGTCATAGAGGGAGACATGAGGAACCTCCTTGCCAGCATGGGTCTTGATCAGTCTCAGCTCGAAGTGAAGGGACTGCGCTCCACTACTGCTCACTATCAGTTGCCAGAGCTTGGACTTCGTGAGTCCAAACAAAGGTTCTATGGACTGCAGCAGAGGTGGAACAAGTCGCACAAGACTAGCAAAGGAGTTGACATCTGGATGGCCCCTGCAAGATCTGATGATAGAAGACAGAGAAATCGCGTAACTAGGGATGGTGTTACTCGTCTACAGCATGCCCTAGGAGATGAGCTCTCAAACGCTCTTGAGATCGAATGGGGAAGGCAACTGGTGTGGCTGGGTGATAGGCGGACTCATGGCATCATCAGAGCAAGCCCTGTTCGCCGCAAGCTCTGAGCGCACCTGTGTGATGAGCTATAGGGAGAATCGAGGAGAGACCTTCACGTATCACATCAATGTTACTGCTATGGCAGCAGCAACTGGCAAGTCGGTTGAGCAGCTGGAACCGCTTTTGTATAGCAGCTGACAGCCAGTGCACCAGGGACCGCTGTATTCTGCTCTTCTTGACATGGGAACTTGGAATGTACAGGGCAACAGTCTTTTGTCGTTAGGGGAGTGGGTCCATATGACTGAGATTGATTGTCAAATTTGGTTTTTTCAGGAAGTTGGTGGCCTGGGTAAGTGTAGTTGGTTGCCGGTTACTGGAAGTCTTCGTGTGCTACAGGATGATTTTGAAGGTCCCTGGCATGGCTACCACGTATTCGGAGGGTCGCCTCTGGACTCGCATCTGGGACAAGTGATTGCGGTTGATGCTGATATCTTCTCGCGTGTGGTTGATTCAGTTATAACCTCAAGATGTATTCTGCTGCGAGTCCGGTTGACACACAGCGCCAACGATTTTTGCATGATATCTTGTCATCTGCCACACAAAGATAATCCAGCAACATCCTTCAGTGATGCAGTGGCTGAACTTGAGGGTCTTCTTCGAACATACAGACATCTTCCGACCGTCATTGCTGGTGACTTCAATGCACAGCTGGGTGATGACAGATTTCTCGAATTAAGCTCCATTTTGAGCTCCCTTGGATATACTTGCAGACAGTCTGGGGTACCCACACGACATGGCAGGTACAGTCATAGTGAATACGATTTTTCTTTGAGAACTTTGGGCAATGCAGCCTTATACACACTCACAGTGACATCAATATGCAGGCATATGGATGTGCTGCCAAGGAGATCTCCAGTGACCATGACCTCGTAAGAATGTCGGTGCCACTGCGCGCCACTACTCACACAAAGTCAGAACCAAAGCAGTACTGGACCAGGAGTCCTTTCCTCCAAGTGCACAGGAGCAGTGGGAGTGGCTAAAGACGTCATCTGCCAAGGTTTCTTCGCATCCCAACAGCCGCAAATATGTTGACCCCCCATACGTCAAGGAATTGTGCCAGCAGAGACGTAAAAGCAATTCGGTGCAGGAACGATCCCTGCTAATGTGCAGGATACTTTCTAGCCGACGACATGCCAAAGTTCAGTGGTGGCAGCAGCTGCAGCAGGATGCCAAAGCCGGGTCACCTGAGGCAACAGTGTATATCCGTAGGCGTACTAGTCCAACCGCATCGTTCCAGCAGTTTGTTCAAACTCAAGGAGGCCCTGCGCAAGCTGCAGAAGCGCTAGAGAGCAGAATGCGAGAGGTTTTCACCAACAATGAGGACGTCTCTGAAAGTATCAGCCAGATTTGTAGTACCTTGGACCACAAAGCAGCGAACACAGACACGCCACTTTTCACCCTTGCAGAGCTCGAACGTGCTGTTGTCAAGCTAAAGGACAATAAGACTTCAGGACTTTCTGGTATGTCGGCTGAATACGTGAAGTGCCTCATGAGTGCTGAGGGCGGGAGCGCCTTGCTCTTCGGCCCATTTGCATGCTGGAGACTCTCAACGAGGTCTTATGCAGCCTCTTACTTCTCGGCAACCAGGACAGCTAGGTGGACTTCGTAACTGCCAAGTGTTGGATGTGCTTACCACGGCAATATCCTGGATAGAATATGAAAGCAAGACCTCTCAATATTCCATATGGGCCTCCCTTGATATTGAAGCTGCCTTTGATTCTATCCGGCATGACGAGCTGGCAAAATACTTGAGCGAGCAAGCTGGTGACACCCACCCTCGGGAAACTGCACACCTGTTGCGTATCATCACTTCCCCAACTATGCATGCAAGTTTCAGGGGCAAGCATTGGTGCATTCAGCAGACTCGCGGCGTGCAGCAGGGTGGGAGTCACTCCAGCTTTGTTTTTTCCTGCGTGGATCATCACCCACCGCGTGAGGCTATGGCACGAGTGGGGCTACAGTTCACTCCATGATGACTTTGGGATTATGTACATTGACGACATCTTGCTTAACTTTATGTCCTGGCCCGATGCCGCGTTCCTCCTCGAGGATCTTAGTCAGCATCTTCGCAAGTATGGGCTCTCTATCAGTTGGGCGAAATCCACAATCATGTCCGTCCAGCACATTCTGGATGTAGGTAGCGCCGCCGTGCCACAAGATGCCATCATCCGCTCATGTGCCTGGTCCACGTCGCTGAGATATTTGAAGCGAAAGCTTGTGCATCCTGACAACGTCATTGACGTCACTACACAGTTGCTTTCTCAAACCTCTGCTACCATGCACGCAGCCTTTGGTGACTTGGTTGGTGTTGCTAAAATACAGCACTGGACCAGGCCGCGACAGGCAGTGCAGTTTGCGGCCAAATATGTGGCATCCAGATTCCTGTGGCTCACGCCGCTGTTCGAGACTCTGCAGGCGCATGTGCAACGTGTCACCACTATGCAGGTCACATGTCTAGTTTTCCTACTGAAGCTGTACCTTCCTGCAGAGCTCTCTTTTGAGAGAGCACTGGAACTCAACAGATTCAGAAGACGGGTAGCTAAACTTGTTGGCCTTCGCTACTCGCAATCCTGGTGTGCTGCTTGGGTAGCCAGACGCTGGAACTACGTGGGTCATGTGCTGCGATTTGAAGAGGATCACATTACAAAACGCTCCCTCAAATGCCTCCATGAAGCCAAGGGTCGCGGTGGTCCCAAACAATCTCTGCTCACTTGGGCCTGCAGGGTTGCAGCTTCTGTGTATCACATGGGGCCTCTCATCAGCGTTGCGGAGCTTGAGGGACTCGCTAGTGACCGACAGAACTGGATGGCCAAGAGTCAGTCAGTGCAAGAACATCATATGCAGAGCACCACGTTGTACACTGTGTCGCATTGGGACAAGCCTCTCCGTTTGTTTGTTGCCCCAGTCTCGTGGCTGCAAGCGCTGCTCATGACAGTTACCCCGGAGGGGACCTATGCCTTGCACTGGGTGTCTTCAGAGCATGGACTCATGAGATCTCCGCTGCCTGCTATGTCTTATGTTCACGTTGTGAAATTTTTTAGGCCCTTGCAGATGATCTCC